TACTTGTGAAGTGTTTTCTCTCTTCTAGTATACTGGACCCTCCCTCTCAATTGGCTGTCATTTGCAAACTTACTAAACTTGTGTTTACCCACAAAATCGACAGAAATGCTGGAAAAGATAAATGACAGAGGACCTCCTTCAGGCTTCACATGATATGTATCTTCCTTGATCTATAGATTTTTTGGAGAGAGATTATTGAATTTGCTGCTAAAAACTAGATGCATAAAGTCTGGGATGTCACTTGGACAGCAAGTGAGAAGAACGGACATGGTTCTACTCCGTGAGCTTTTCCTGGTGGCCTGTGGCCTTCCCTTCCTCTGGAAGCCTCTAGACATGTGAGAAGCCACGCTGAACTTTTGTGGCACTTGACAGGGATCTCATTTTCACATCTAAACTGGATTTTCCCCCACTCCCTTTATAAAGCTCACACTTGTCCCCGGGTAGCTTCCCCTTTTTTCCTGTCCTTCCTAGGTGTCCTTTCCCTAGCAGTGCTCGTCAAAGAGCGCAGTGTGAAGCCACATTACTTATTTAGATCTACCTCCTCCTCCTCCTTCTCTTATGGGATCAGTTTCTGGCTAGCAGCTGACCTAGCAAAGCAAGACTGGAGGGCATCCATCCCTAGGGACCGCAGCGCAAACGCTCTGTTGAGCTCAAGTCATCTGTCAGGTGAATATCTCCATAGCTGGCGAGTGCAAACCAGGTTGTCTCACACTGAAGTACATGTTACTTTCAAAGGAAAATTTAGAAACACTCCTGGCAGATCTCGTCCCTACTACATGATCAAACATTTAAGGATTATTAGTTTGAAGGGTGGCCAATGCCTGGCCTCCCTAAGCACCCAAAGGTTTTTCCTTGGGTCTGCCTGTAGTTCTTTGATTGTATCAGCAGAATTCTATTCTCAGCATGTCCAGTGATGGCTCTCTTGCTTCTCTGTCACTGTGAAATATGCAGGCATTATCAAGAAAAGCTGAGTTCACCATGTCACATTATACTTGTCAAATACCAGCTTCGAGTGACCTAGCTGGGAGACTTTCCCCAGTTATTTCCCCAGTGGAGGAGATTTTACCCTTGATTTTAGCAGGGTCTGAGGCTTCTTCTGGTTGTCACAACTTGGGGATTTACTTGTATCTGTGAGTGAGGACTGAGGACACTGCCACGCACAGGGCAGAATTTTCTGACCTAAAATGTCAGTAGTATCACTGCTGACAGTGAGCGTGCTGTAAAAAAGAAACCCAACCGCGGCCAGCCTGGGTACCCAGCTTGACACTGCTGCAGGCAGCTGAGTTAGACAGAAATATTACAGGCAGTCAGACAGGGCCAGGCCCGCAAGGAGACAAGACGGAAGACAAGGCCACTTCACAACTTCGGGAGAGATGACCCCTGCTGTGGGCTGGGCCTCAAGACAAAAGAATAAACAAATGTAGCACATGCCTCCCTAAAGACAGACATCCAGGATTGACATTCTAAACAAGTCTCTCACCATAAGGGCGCTGGCAGTCACTAACCCAGCCCCTTACAGGAAAAGCCCCGTCTGTATTCGCGCCCCCTTGCTATGCCCGCCTGCTAGGTGACCTGCTCCCCAATCAGTCCTGGATGTAATCAATTTTACCTGAGTGGTTATAATTGTAATTTCATTGGTTGACCATAGTTTTGTCCCACCTCATGCCTACTGTACTGATTGATACATTGGGTCAACTTGAGAAGTTTACAAAGTTAATTAAGTGACTCAGCAGAGAGCCAGGATTCTTAGTTTGTAAACATCTTCATCCTGTGCAAGAGGAGGGCATGGACATTGTGTGAGTTCTACACTCCCAGCCCCAGGGGAGCTTGTTTACAATATTAGGACAGGAGAGGGCCTGGCTAGAAGCCCCGGCTGTGACCCTTCCCTTTGTTCTTTGCTGTTTTCTGCTGCCATAAACTGCTGCTCTCTGCCACATGCCTCTCTGCCACATGCCACTCTGCCTGGGAGCCAGCTGAGTATGGACTGAAACCTCCACAAACTGAGCTGAATAAACCTTTCCTTCATTTTGAGTGCTGGGTATTTTGTCCTGGCAACGAATGCAATGTAACTGAGACACCCACCTAAGCGAGTTCCCATGTTCTCCACCTTACCACATGGTTTTACTCTATAAAAATCCCTGGAAGACGTGGCTTCTGTTGCAACCCACTCAGGTCCCCCTTCTGTCCCTGTCTCGGACAGAAGCTTTCCTTCCTCTAGTAAATATATTCTGCTTTTAACCTCCATTGTTCCTAAAATTCATTCTTCAGTTTTGAGAACACAGACTCCTCCCAGATATCTTTCAGGTTGGGAGATACCCTATACCAACACCACAGGATTCTCTTAGCACTGCATCACTGGGACGGAACACTTGAGAATTTCTTCCCACCTAAAGGAGGGAGAAGTTCTGTTGGCTCACAGCTGCAGAGGCCTCCGGACACGGTTAGCTGACCTGAGGTGGGCGGAGCCGTCCGGTGGAAGGGCTGAGTGTGCTCAGCGCTCACCTCCAGGCAGCCAGGAAGCAGAGACAGAACTGCAGGAGGAAGGACCAGAGGCAAACTAAACACCTCGCGGCCACAGCGGGCGGCTTCATCCGGTGGGGCTCCACCTCCCAAAGCCCATTCAGATGGGGGACAGAGGAGGAGTGGCGGTCTCTCCCACTTGCTGGAACTGGACGCATCATGAACCAATGGTTTTCCCAAAGCCCAGCAGCTCTCAGCCCAGGAGACCCTGGGAAGCTTTTCAGATCTAAACCATAAGAAGGGTAGCAGTGGTTTGGGCTGGTGCTAGGAGAAATGCAGACAGTTCTACCTGTACAGCGTGGGACAGCGCTCCTGCCTGTGAGCAGCGTTGAACGATGGCTACTATTTTCATTACTTATATATCATGCGGTGGGTTGGATAAGTACTCAGTTGTGAGCAGTTTAATGGTAAAAGAATAGTTCATTGATTCCAGAAATCTGTTTTGAACATTTTTCATATGCCAGGCACTAATCTTACCATTGCAAATACATTGAAAAATTAAGTTTAAAAAAGGCAGGCAATCTTGACCGGCTAACGACACACAAGGGAGCGTTCCAGTTCTTCATTCCACTTTCCAGAAACTCCAAGGCTCTGAGAAGTTAAAGGAACGAAGATGAGAGCAACAGGCCCCCAACGTCCACAGACGCAGGCCACGATTCACGTCTAACCAACTCTGCCGGATCTCTGAACTTACATCCTGTCTATCCATTATTGCCAGATCCTTGATAAAACAAAACCACCAATCAGGACCTTCACTTACTTCCACAACATACATAAATATAGAGATTATATGCATAATATTTACAGATTTGGCGATAGCCCTGTCTTGGCTCATACTGTGTGAAACCAGCAAGCCCTCTGTTCCATAAGCCACCTTAGGGCTCAAAACACCTTCAAACACGCGGACACCGCCACATGACGAGCATGGATCTTATTGCAGGGTAGGAAGATGATCACGCATGCGCAAAACACTGGTGACGTCCCATTTCTTATTTCCAAGCGTCTTTCCCACCCTCTGACTACCCTGATGGCCTTAACCCCTAAGAATCCCTAATTCCTGTTCTTGGGGTGGTTGTTTTGAGTCTGGAGATGGGGTGGGGTAGGCTTTTGCTGGGCTTTGGTTGTCTTGTGAATAAAACTGTGGAAGAACTTTTGTTTTCAAAATGTTTCAAAATCCAAATATGTCCACACTTTGCAGTGTTCCTTCTGCATCTGTAACAGGCTTGGACCCCAGGTGCAAACTGTCCCCCACCTGTTACTGTTTCCACTTTGCTCCCATATTTGTCATGTTGCCCTCCCTCACAAAAGACCCCTGCTCGATTCCTGGCCTAGCTCAGGACTTTGGAGGTGAGGCTCCTCGGAGCCCCTGGTGTCCTAAAGCTTGCTTCCCTCCACTTCTCCGAGTGCCACTGGCTTTCCTGACCTCCAGCAAACCTAAAATTACTGTATCAAAGTCTCTTACAAAATTCACAGCTTCAAAGCCTGGATGGTGGGCGAAATGGGTTTGGGTGGGTAACATCACCACTGCCCACTGCATATGAAGAACGGCTTCTCCTTGGCTCACCCAGCCCCACCAGCTTAACTTCCAGCTTGGGTTCCGGTAGCCATTCTCATATTAAAGAGAAATGCCATTGGCTCACGTTAAACATCTACATTTTCTTATCTGGTCATGCCTGTATTTTCATCCGATAGCCCTAATCTCCTATGTGGAACTGAAGGGCAGAATTCATTCACACCCAGGAAAAGTACATGCTGATGTTTACTACATTTGCAAATAAGGAAGTGTATTCTAACTCCTATTGTCCTGGCTAATAATTTGCAAATAATATCAACTAGTGTTTTTTTTTTTTTTTTTTTTTTTTTGTATTTTAGGGAAGGGTTCACAGGGTGTTCAGGGTCTCACTGAACATTAGATCGGACTCACAGTGATCTGCCTGTTTACAGCCTCCCAAGAGCTGGGATTACATGTGTACTCCGCCATGCCCAGTCTCAAGTACTGTCTCAGCATGTCTCAGCAGCGGGGCGGGGCCGGCAGGGCAGGCCCGTCAAGTATGGTTCTTGTGGGTGTGAGGAACAGAGACTCATGTGGACATGCTTCCCTAAAGAAAAAGTTAACTACTGCTCCAAGTTACAGGTCTCAAATAAACCAAAGAGCGCTCTTTAGGTACAAAAGCCAGAGACGCGCCTGATTAACGTTTATCCCATCTCTGCCCCAGCTCAGGAGCCCCTGGACCCCACCGCAGGCTGTTCCGAGGTGAATCGCTAGCTTTAGAAAGCACCACACGAGCAATTGCCCTAAAGATGATTTGACAATGGCTTCTCTTGGTCGCCGCTCAGAATCAGTGTCACTTCTTGCAGAGACCGCGCCCTTGATAAACTCACCTGGTAAAGTTAAAAACGCAACTTCACTTCAGGAAACAGAACTCCAGCACGGGATGCATTCCTCACACACTCTTAGAGCCAATGAAACGAATCCTTACCTATAACTTTGCCGAGGAAGAGCGACTTGGGAGAATTGAAGAGCGTGTCGGATGAACTTGGCAGATGGTAACTCGCGGAGGGATAGTGATCGAGCTGTAGGGAGAAAGGGAGGGACATCGTGAGGAGAACGTCACTACCCGGCCCTGGACTCAGGTCTCCCCTGGGGGATGACGTCGCTCTTTGAACCCGGCTTTCCGGGTCTCTTATTTCATCAGCACAGACCCTGTACCCCAGCCTGAGGACACAGAAGTCCGTCTCTTCCTTCTTGTGGGTGGAAAGGGTGGTTATTTGAAAAGAATTTGAGCTTGGTAAATGGAGACCCTTCAGGGGTGGGCATGTTCAGTGGACAGTCCATCTGCCCGGGGGTTATGTCTGGGCTCATTTGAATGGGGTGAAGTCTGCTTGGTCCCGGCTCTCCTGTGGCCCTCAGAGCTGCCCCTATAGCACTGAATTTTCCTAAGGACCCTTTCCCTGAATTATTTCCTTCACTTTTGCACGTCTACAGGACATTATTGATCTTCAGATGCGCGTGCACCCTCCCACACCCCCCACCTTTGTTGCAGTTCAAGTGTTCTTGCTTTTCTCTGTGTATTTCGAGCGTTTAACAACAGCCGAGTTATGTCTGCCCAGAGCTTTCTGTATCCCCTTGTGTAAAATCCCTCCATCGGCCCCATTCACCTTTTGCAGTGAGCTGCACACGAGGGTGGCCGAAGGAAAGGTGTGGGTCATGAAACTGGGCTTGCTCCCTCCTCTGCGTTCCCATGGGAACCGTGTAGAGACCGGCGCCACGGAGAGCAGCCGCTTGGTGAAGGGGGCCTTACAGCCCCCCAACTGCCACGCTGCAGTCCTTGCTAGTGTCTGGGGCTGATGAAGCGAAAACCCTCCCGCTGGCAAAGACGGAGGACCAGCGGTGCCGGGATGGCAGGTGGGCGTGAGAAGGAGAGAGTGCGGGGTGAGCCACTCTCCCACGGCCTGAGGGAGAATGACCATTTGTTCTGAACAAATATGTGCAGCTGACCTGGGAAACTGCTTCGTAGAAACCCCGAGGTCGCTGAACAGGCAGGGTGAAGCGTCTGCCTCATCCCATCTCTGGGATTGTTTTGAGAGTTTTGACCTGCAGAACTGGTACCGTAAGTTTTTGTACAGGTGTAGGACAGCAGCAAAAGTTCAGAGAGAAAAAACAAAACCCATAAAAGCAGACACATGTGTATTTGATTGTCATCTTGAAAAATGTCCTAGCATGCCAAATGCATCGCTAAGAAGGCATTTATTCGAGCCATAGAATCTTAAACACTTAAATCTGATAAAATTTCTTCGGAGCAAAAGCTTTGTTTGCAGCTAAATTTTCGCTGGCTGCTTTGGCGCCATCTGATGGCACACACGGATAACTGCAGTTTTGACTGCTTTATTGTCGAGGTCCCTGCAGAGGCTTGGTGAGGATCTTCCCAACTACTTACCACCTAACCTATTTTACTAAAAAAACTTAAAAATGGTCATAAAGATAAATATTCATTATAGAAAGATAACAACACATATTTTCAGGGAAAAGTCTCACCTGGTGATCACGCATGGTGATAGTTTATTTTTTGGTACTGGTGATCGAACTCAGGACCTTGTGCTGGCCAGGCAGGTTCTTAAGCCGCTGAGCCATCTCTCTGGCCCTGTACGGTCATTTTTTAATTTTCATTCTTTCTTTGGCAAGGCCCAAGGAGGGCCAAGGCAAAATATGGTGAATGTTTAAGTTAAAGAAAAGGTCACTGCAGCAAAGGATTTGAACGCACCGCTCCGGCCACTTTCTGCAGCAGGTCTGGAAGTCCTCTTTCATGAGCGTCTGTAGTTTCGCTAGTGTAGCTGCCTCAGTGTCTTGGATTGGGTCAGAATATTTCCTTTCCACCGCCATTTGGACTACGGGGAGAGGCGGACGTGACCTGGTGCCAGGGTCGGGTGAGCAGAGCGGGCGGGGACACCGCATCGTGTGTTGAGGACTCATGGCCCTGTTTCTTTGACTTTAACTTTTAAACATTCACCATGTATTTTAATCACCCCTTTAATGTGTAAAGCCCCAGTGCTTTCTTCCCTTAGTCCGTCTTTATCTGCTTAACCCTTAGGGCCGGCAGGGAGACGATGAGGGAGCCAAGCTTTGCCTCCGACAGCCCGTACCGTGTCTGTCCTGGGTGGCTCCCTCAGCCCTGGGGTAGGAAACCCCGCAGGGGCACGCCTGGATCTGACAGGTCGCCTTTATCGCACTTCCTTCTTGCGCTGGTACCCCGTGTTCTGCTGATTGTGTGGGTTCTGTGTCCTTTCTGAGCACGGGTCCTGCACACCCTGAGCCACAAGATGTCTCATCTCTGTGTCTGAAAGGCCCAGATGCAGGAAAGAGGGGGCGTCTACTGAGCAACTGCTGTTGCTCTGTACGGAGGTTTTCACACATTCTTTTATTTCATACACAGCAAATAGGTATTTTCTTTACTTCTCTATTACTTTTAAAAATCCAGAATCACGGGGGCTTGCGGGTTAGCTCTGTTGTTTAAGTGCCTGCTGCAGCCCAGTCAGGCTCAGGGGACCATGGTTCGATCCCTGGCTCCACGTGCCTTACCAGATCCACCCTTAAGGTAGTCTGAGCCAGCCAAAAACAAAACAAAAAAATTTTTTTTTAAACTTTAGGGCCGGACAAATAGCTCAGCAGATTAAAGTGTCTGCAAGCAGGTGCAGGGGCCAGGAGTTTCATCCCGGGGCCTGTCATGCCAGCCCCTGCCCATGGGGTCTGCTGAGACTGGAGCATGGTGGGGTACATCTGTAATCCCAGCACTTAGGAGGCTGTAAACAGGAGAATCACTACAAGTCCCATTTAGTAGTGAGACCCTGAACACTGTGTAGACCCTTCCCTAAAATACAGAAAAAAAAAAAAAATCTAGCGTCACAAAGGGCAGGGTTGATTTTCTTAGCCAGTCATGCCTGAATACAGGGACAGAATGGACAGTGTTGGGGTGAAGTGGAACCAGCTTGCTTATGTCAATTAGCGAGGGAGTGCTGTCGCCTGCATTTTAAATATTTACGTTCAAAAGACAAAATCAGATAAAGCAAGAAGAGCTCATCCTGACGAGCCCAAGGAAATCACCAATTCTGTCATTTCCCTCACACCGCCAGGTGTCTTCTCTCCTCAGATGAGCCTGGGCACGTTTGCCACGCTTAAGTGTAATAATTTCAAGGTAATTTCTTGGGGTCTGAGCGAGCTATTTTGCTGTTCATTTAGCTAGTGGTCATTTCACTGGCAGTTAAGAGGCGCTAAGAGAGGGTGTAATAGAGTCTCATTAAAATTGAAGACTTTGACTCCACATGCCCTAGGACAACCTTAAGGGGACACTCATTTGTTCAGCATTTACCATGAAGCCACTAGAAGCATACAGATACAAGCTGGGCCTTGTGTCTTACATACTGAGTTTAAAGCTTTAATGCCTGCTCAGGTATTCTTTGGCAATTTCCATTCATTTCCATTTTTAAGCTACAGTATGCACTGGCAGGGTTCAAGGGGATTTTATCAGGCAGTTTATATTTTGGGGATGAACAGAGGAGAAATTTCTAGACAGTGTGGACCACTCTGGACTGATGGAGGGGCAGGGTGCCCTCTTCTGAAATGAAGGGGCAGTTTTGTGGCAGCTCTGCCTCTCTGGTGGGGCCGGACCTTTGGGGCTCTAGACAAAGGCCTGAGGTTTCCTGTAGCCTTTCCTAATCCTAAAGTGGCCGGGCCAGGAAGCAGAGCAGAGGGGAAAAGCAGAGGAAGGGGCCAGAGGCCAGAGCCCACGGTCACACCCCCGCCTCCTAAATTCCATTTACAATATCAAATGATGATCTCACCAATGGATTGTTGAAAGCAGAGTTCCCATGACTTAGTCTCCTCCCCAAAGCCCTGCTTTGGCGCACAGGAGTCTGTTAGGGGTTACTGAGGTCTCTTTGCTAGGGGACTTTCGCAAACCACAGTAGCTCCTACCTTGCTACACAAGGGAGGAAGGCAGTGTCTGGGCGAGACCAAGCTTGTCTGTGCCACGGACAGCCACGCTACTCACAAGTCACAAAGCCACCTGGAACTTCAGGCTTATAAAACAAGAGGTTGGACCAGATAACGGGTTCTTTGAGAATGATTTGCGACTATGGACCTCGACAATGGTCTTGTGCCAGAGCCTTTGTGGTCTGGGGCAGATCTTCTTTCAAGATCCAGTTCTATGATAGCAGCTCTTTGGGTATCATATGGGGACACGCTCACTGCAGCCTATCAGAGATGGACAGAAGGCAGGCAGAGAGAGTCCCCAAAGGCGTGACCCTCCTGCTTTCAGTTCTGAGTCTTTGTCACAATAGTAAGCTTGTTCCCTGGTGCTGGTATTGCTCATTTCCAAAAAGTCATGGGTCTCAAAATAAAGGATTTAGGAAATAGATTTTTTTTTTTTTACTGCTGCCCATGTGCATGATTTTCCCTTTCAGGGATGCCAGGAAGCTTTGCTTATGGATCAATAAACGATTATAAAAGGCGAAGGATTGTAAGTACTTATTACTACTCTCATATGCCATTGTTGTTAGGGTAATGCAATCCGTCAAATATTTTTGCCTCTTAAGGCCAAGTGCCGGTGGAATCCTGCTGTATCGGTGCAGCTAAAAGAACTAGTGAGCCCATGAGGTGCGAAGTATTTTATATAACAAATTTCTCAAAACAGTAGAGATTAGCCTTCACGTGCCGATCACGTTCTCTAGTCTAATGCGCCACCTACTGGAAAAACACCAAATCATATTTCAAGCCTACGACTTTTTTTAAAATGAGAAAACTGATTTTGTATCAATGAATCTGCATAATTTAAAAATACACATCACTGAATGGGCATAGAAATCATCATTTTATTATAGCTGACTAGCATTTCATTAATGGCATAAACTCCCCAAACTATAAATGGTCCCCAAACTATAGTATAGTTTCTTTCTTTTCTTTTTTTTTTTTCAGAACCGGGGATTGAACTCATACCCTTGCGCTTGCCAGGGAAGCGCTTATTCTACTGAACCATCTCCCCAGCGCCTATAGAATAGTTTCAAAGAGTCTAGGTAGAACA